TCAGTTCTATTAACATATTATTCATATAAATTATTTAACCATTAGATGGTCTCTCTTCCGAAGGAAGAATCAAATTGATCGCGACGAGCAACGTCTCCACAGACTACGCGAACGTAGGACAAGAAGAGTCTTAAATTACACGTCCAAATATTTCCTACGCGAGTAATCGTTCGATCCCCTTCTCCAGACGTATTCGCCTATAAATAACCTCCGCCCTACATTGATTATTCTCACCCGCAATTTCCGGAGCCCTCGCCGTTAGAATCAAATACGTTAATAACGAACCCTAATCATCAATTCTTACCCGATCCTGAATATTATATCTTGGATCAAAATCTACCAATCACATCTCCAGAGTACGACCCCCTTTTACAATTTAACAACGAACAAACTTTTCACATTCTCAACGAGGGCACCGCGAATCTCACTCACGACGTCGATAACGTCATCCCCGAGAAAGCGCAAGATAACTTCACTTCTTTTATAACTTACCTCAACCAGCCTAACAATCCGGAACTGGAGCTCAGTCATATTGTAACTCAATTTCAAGCTCCCCACGAACCACGTCAGGACCAAAAAACTTTATATCGACGTAAAGGTTTTATAAATGAATAAATGACATTATATTTGTAAAATATCTTTATTTATCGACCCGACCCTTCAGTTTCCTTCTCCGTCCGATACTCTCAATCGAATCTCAAGCTCTTGGCTTCCCTGGGTATAGCCGGCCTAGCAGGTTGCCCATAAAACAAATAGAGAGCAGCTTCTTAAACGTCCACCGAGGTAGACGCGAGAGAAGACCGTCTTGTGCAGAAGGTAATTTATTGCTAGATGAATTATTGGATGTAACAGATAATTAAATATAATGATTAAATATAATGATTAAATATAATGAGTGCCCGTCGCGCTTTACTATTTAGGGATATGTGAACTGGCTTAAATACTCACAAGGTTAGACAATGTCTAATGTGCCTTGCTATGGTACACTTCGCTACTGTGTTCTTCCCTTTGAGTCTGAAGATCTGAGGAGCCTCGGTACCTCGGTCCGAAATGGCGGCTGTGTCTCACCAAAATGGCGGCTATGTCTTCAGGACCCCGTAGTATTTGCTGGTTGAGTGCTGGATTGTTGACTGGAACCACTGCGACGAAATCACTGCCGTTCCGTGCCGGGTGCAGGGTTTATATACCGTAAAATGTGGCTCGCTCCTCCCATCGGGCGATGCGGCTTAGCCAATGGCAAGAGAGGTATGCCGGGGAAGTACCGGAGACAATCTGTTCCTGGTAGAGATTGCGACGGTTAAGTCCCGGAGAGATGGTTTCTTAGTAGCGATAGCGGCGTTCCTCTGATGACTCATCGCCGGCCGCTCCGACTTTCCTTTTCCTATTCTCGGTAGCGATAGCGGTATGCCTTTGTTGGCTATGCGCTCCGACTTATCTTATCTTCTTCTTGGTAGCGATAGCGGTGCTTCTTTGGTGACTCACCGCTACGCGGCTTGCAACGGGCCTTGCAGGTTGCAACGTGTTTCAGCGTTGCATCATGCTTCTGGAATGTAACGGTTCTCAACCGTCTTTCTAGAACCTTCTAGAATCTTTTAGATGTTTCTTGAGAGTCAAGCCGAGTTCACATAATAAAGCGGGTTTCATACCTAATTATTACTTTACGAACGATATCTATATATATAATGCGTCTATAACTCTCTTATTCGGGAATAGTCAAAATAAGATATCGAATAGTTTCTCTGAAAAACAAAGTTTGTAAATTTTTTTATTAATTCAAACTCAAAAGACTATTTACAACCCTCACCTGAAAAACAAAGAAACAACATTCAATGTTTCTTATTCACTGATTCTATTATAATAACACTTTGTCAAATTAAATTTTATTCACCGTATTTTCTCTCCACGTGGGTTTCTCTTTTCTAACCTCTATTAATTTTTCTTTGCACATCTAGATGCCCGTATTACCGACCGTTTTACCGGGAGATTTTAAATTAATCCGAGGAAATGTAATGGAATTTCCTTACATCTCCCCCCCTAAGAGAGAAAATATGTTTACAATATTTTTTTTTTTTTTTTTTTTTTTATGACGTGTACATGTCTTCTTCTGTGTAAGCGGACTCTGAGACTGGAAACAGTTTAGTGATATGAAATAAATTTGACTCTGTTTTCTTATGACCTGTGTCTACTTTATATATTGAGTGTGATATTTTTTGTAAGATTTTGTATGGTCCTATTTTTAACTCGTCTAATTTCTTTCTGTTTAAGCGGTTCCCGTTCTCGACATATACTGATTCTCCTACATTAAATTTGTAATCTCTTCGGTTTTTGTCAATTATCTTTTTATTATAAACGTGATATTTTATACTATTTTCTAAAGCAGTTTTCCTGTCTAGTTTTAGATCTTCGTTTGATCTTTCTTGTTTTAATTCGATTGGTAACATTGAGGTATCCGTGCCTTCTAATAGATATTTTGGGGTGAATTTAGTGACTGTGTGTTCTATTTCATTGTATTTTCTTACACATTCGTGTGCTATAGTTGTCCATGCTGCTTTCTTGTTCTTTTTCTCGTTTACTTTGCATCTAATTTTATTAACCAACGTTTGGTTCAATCTTTCATTCAGGCCATTGGAGAAAGGTGCGTTTACTGCCGTAAATATAATTGGGATATTTTTGTCGTCCAAAAATTTCTTAAAAACCTTGGAGTTTATTCCCGGATATTGATCCGTTAAGATCATACCGATGTCGTTGTTTTCCGTTACTTTTTTTATTAATTTTATAAAATCCGTGGAATTTTGGGTTTTGGATGTTAAAATATATCCAAATCTCGTGAAATGGTCTACCAAGAGATGTAAGTATTTTTTTGTGGATCGTGAGCCCCCGAAGCCGCCGATTGTGTCGATGGAAACTATTTCAAACGGTTCTTTTGCGGGACCTAATTGAGACATTAGGCCAAATTTCTTCTGTCCTCTTGATTTATTTTTTATGCAGATCTCACAGGCTCTACAAATTTCTTTTATATTCTTTGTTAAATTTTGTGCTGTGTAATAATTTCTGATTTTGTTTTGTGTTTGTTTTATACCTATATGGCAGAAATTCTGATGTGTTCTTCTTATTACTTCTTTACTGAATTTTTCTGATAGTATAATTTTTTCTTTTTCTTTGATCTTCTTATAGTATATTTTATTTTTTTTATAGTTTTAGTCTATTTTTGTCAGTCTGTAAATCTTTGTTTTGTTTTTGATCTTTCAGAATTTCTTCTAGGTTTATTAAATTCACGATTTTTAAGTCTTCCTCTTGATTCTCATGTGCCTCCAGCACAGGGTTTCTACTTAAACAGTCTGCCTCCAAGTTATTCTTACCCGGGTGGTATATTATTTCCATATCATATTGTGCTAAGTAATACGTTAGATCGCCTAATTCTTCGTCTGGTCTTGCTTTGATGTTAAGTTTTTCTAGTGGTTTATGATCTGAAAAGACTTTGAATGATCTGCCCATGAGCCAGTGTTGCCAGTATTTTACTGCTTCTTTTATTCCTAGGCATTCTAGGTATATAGCCTTCTTTTTTTTTGGGCTTCGTTTAGCTTCTTCGAGAAATACGCCACCGGTTTTTCTATTTCTTTTCCTATTTCTTCATCCAGTTGTGGTTGTTTTAGTATAGCTCCTACACCTTTCAAGCATGCATCCGTGTAAATATGTATTGGTAGATCTGGATCGAAGATAGTTAAAACCGGTTGAGTGCAAAGAATGTTTTTTATTTTTTTAAAGGCTTCTTGGCAATCTTCCGACCAGACGAATCTTTGTCCTTTTCTTAATAGTTTGTGCAGTGGGTCCAGTATTATGGAATTATGTGGCACGTATTCATTGTAAAAGTTAATTTTTCCTAAGAACTGGCGAATGTGTTTTTGTGATTGTGGCACAGGAAAATTTTGTATTGATATTAGATTATCTTTTATTGGAGAGACTGAGTTATTTTTTATCTTGTGACCTAAGTACTTGACTGAATTTGATGCGAAAGTGCATTTAGAAAATTTCAATCTAAAGCCCTCCTTCATTATTGCGTCTAGCAATTGTGTTAAATGGTCAATATGTTCATCGAATGATTTTGAGAAAATCAAGATATCGTCTATGTAGTTTACTGTAAAGTTTGAGAGATTGTGTTTTCTCATTATGTTGTTCAGGATTCTTTGAAAAATAGCTGGCGACGTCTTTAGGCCAAATGGCAAGCAGGTCCACTGAAAGTGTCCTTCTTGGGTTATAAATCCTGTTTTTCTTCTATCTTCCACCCGTAGTGGGATTGACCAGAATGCCGAGTTTATGTCGAGTTTGGAAAAATATTTGCAGTTTCTTGTTTTTGTCACTAGGTCCTCAATCAATGGGAATGGTTGTGATTGAGGGATAATTATTTTGTTCAGATCTCTAAAGTCGATGCATAATCTTGATCTTCTATCTTCGTCCTTTTTATATGCTAGCGTCACTGGGGCAGCAAAAGGACTGTATGATTCTTCTATCAAGTTTCTTTTTAACAGCTCCGCAATTTGTTGTTCTATTTCTTTCTTATCTTTGATTGTACATCTATATGGTCTCTTGCTGCAATACTTATCTATCATTAAATCTATTCTTGCTTCATAATCTTTTACTGTGCCAATGTCGTATTTGTCCTTGGCAAATAATGTTTTGTATTTTTCTATAAGATTTTCTATTTTTAATTTTTCGTAGTGATCTAGGTGGTTTATTGAGATTTGTAAATTATCTGTATCTACATGTTCATTAAAGTTTATTTGTTGTAGCTTGTCATCTTGAAATTTACAAGCTTCTTTATGGTTTCTATCCTCTTTCTTTGGATTTTTGTTTGTGGTATTAAGAGCATTTGTATTTCTTTTGTCTGTTATGTCAGGAATTTTTTGTTCTATTTTTAAATTCTCATTCTGTATTAATCCAAATTTTTTTATACAATCCAGTCCGATTAGAAATTCATAATTGAAATTTTTGTTATTTATTACAAAAACGTCTATTTCTTTTTCTATATTAAGAATTTTTGCTTTTATTGTTATCATGCCTTCGGTTTGGTTCACACCATTAATCGTTCTTAAGTTTACTTTTCTTATATTGTTATTTTTATCTTTTCTTAGATTCAGTATTCTAGAGTTTATTAATGAAACATTCGAGCCTGAATCATATATCCCAGTTGCTTCCAATGTCTCATTTAGTAATATCTTGAGTTCGATCAATGGTGGAATTATTAGTTTTTTTGCTCATTGCAATTTAGTTCCATTTCTAGGACGGCGTTATTGACATTTTTTATTTTGTTTTCTTTATCTTTGAACCAACATGCTGATTCCGGGTGATAACGTGTGCCTTTGTTATTGTCTTTACAAATTTTACATGGTGTTTTTTCTTTTATGTTATCAGTCTTGTTCTTCTTGATTTCAAATCTGTTTTTATTAACCAGGTGTTCCAGTTTGCCTAGTTCGTTGTAAAGGTCTTCAGTTTCGTTCAGAGTTTCTCTGTCAATCCTATCAGATATAAAGTTTGGTAGACCGGCTGCGATGAGATCTATCAAAGTTCCTGTGTCTATTGATTTTCTTACTTCTAATAATAATTTTTCTTTTTTTATGGCATAATCCAACAGAGGACCTGATTGGAATTTGAATGAGAGTGCATATCTTATTGGGATCCACCCTTTGTTTGCAAATGTTTCACAAAAGTTTTTTTTCCATTCTTTCCATTCTGATTGTACTGTAAATTTTATCAGCATGCAGCTGTACCAATCTACACACGCTTTTTCTAGAAAAAATTTTAAAGTTTCGATCTTCTTTCTATCTTCATTTATCTCAAAACGTTCGCACTCTCTTTCAAATTCATTTATCCATTGGTGGGCATTGGAGGTTTTTCCAGTGAATTTTTCAAGCATAAAATCCTGTGCTATTTTTCCTAGATTTTTTATTTCGGATTTTTGTTGTTTCTCTTCCATTAATTTCTCCAATATTTTTCTCATTATTTCCTCTGAAGAACTAGGTTCAGATGCCGTAGTAGTTTTTTTCTCTGTGATTTCTTCTAAATAATAATCGCCAAATTGTAAGTTTCTTCTTCATCCAAATACACTTTAGTTAAGGTTTCTGATAAACCAATCCATACTTTTCTTGATTGGTGTCTTTTTTTTAATGAATTCTTCACTTTAGCAAATATTTGTGTTTTTGTCAGCTCTGTGTGTAAATGTGCTGGCTGATATTCCTCTGGGAAGCCGAAAGAACGATCATCGGGTGTTCCTATTGAGGTTAAGCACAATATGTTCGATTTTCCGTCTGTTGATCCTCTTACCATAAAGTCGAATCTTAACTTCTCCATTTTGTATAAATTTTCAACAAGAATGTTGTTTTATAATGCGTCTATAACTCTCTTATTCGGGAATAGTCAAAATAAGATATCGAATAGTGTACACGCCCCTCGAATCAACGTGCTGCGAATCAAACCTTAATTAATATAGTTTATATCCGGTTACGGCCACTGTCTCGGAGAGTCCGCGCATTAAGTCGATGTGTAGGAATAAAAAACACAAAACTGCTCCGAATAACAATTAAATCCAAAGTCTTTAATAAAATGTTAATAACTTTGATAATACACGACTATGTTTGACGATCGTTAACGTTTCGTCAACGCTGAATGATAACACAAGAATCGCTGTGTTCGGATCGCTAGTCGAACGAGAACTGAGGGCCTGCTCTCTGCGAGAGTCAGGCACGAAAAACGCCGGAATTTTCACATTCTTACAATATCACGCGTACAGGATCGGGTGATCACGTGTATAATCTGTATCGATACCGAAATCATAACGTGATTCTTGAATGGATATCGAACAAACAACTCGTGGTCAAACACAATCAGCCTACATGCCGAAAAATACAATTTGATTTCTGAACATACCGCCCGCCTCGTACAAACTACGAAACGGACTGATGAACAAATTCTAGTATGTTAAAATTTTAATAGAACGATAGCAGACGGAATGTTTGACAGATCTTTACAATGAGTAAGAGACAGTTACTCGTCTGTTCTAATAAGTGGGCAGATTTTAGTAATCGGGCGCTTAAGCGTTGAAGACGCGGTGCGAACGGTCACGACGCGCGTGTGACCATCTGGGCCAGGGTGTGTCTCGATGACTCTGGCCATGTCCCATTTAGCGGGGGGAAGCAGAGGGTTTTTTATTATTACGAGGTCGTTAATTTTAATCGGTGGTTCTACCGTTCGCCATTTCTGCCTCTGATGAAGCGTGTGCAAGTAATCAGAAGACCATGCTTTCCAAAATTGTTCGTGCATGGCCTGCACCCTTTGCCATCTTGACAAACGATTCTCATTAATTTCTAAGACAGACTCTCCCGGTGCACTCAAAAGGGGGCGACCTATCAGGAAGTGCCCCGGTGTGAGCGCCTCGAAGGAGTCCGGATCGCTTGTCAATGCGGCGAGAGGACGGGAGTTAAGGCAGGCTTCGATTTGGCACAAAAGAGTCGCGAATTCCAACTGCGACAGAGTATGACCTCCGATAACGCGCTTTAAATGATATTTAAAACTCTTTACTCCCGCCTCCCAGAGTCCCCCGAAATGTGGAGACGCCGCGGGTATAAAGTGCCACTGTACACCGTCAGTGACAAGGTGATCGTGGACGGCGCGATCTTTACATGTTTTTATAAATGCGAGTCGCAACTCACGGTCGGCCCCTACAAAATTCGTACCATTGTCGCTATAGACATCGGATGGAAGTCCACGTCGACTAACGAATCTTCGAAAGGCCGCAAGAAAGCCCTCCGATGAGTAATCAGAGACATACTCTAAATGAATCGCACGAGTTGCGAGACATACGAAAATGCAGACGTAATATTTCCGCGAGGTCTGACCGCGACCGACATACGGTATGATTTGTAAGGGGCCGGCATAATCTATTCCGCAGTGGGAAAAGGTGGGCGATGGCGTCACTCGCGGTGACGGTAGATCGCCCATGAGCTGACTTGCGGTCCTCGCGCTTTCGCGTATGCATGTCATACATTTTCTTATTCGGAATTTGACAAGAGATCTCGCACCAAGAATCCAGAAATTTTGACGTAATACGCGTAGAGTAAGTTGCGGACCTCCGTGCGAGGATCGCAAGTGAGCTTGATCGACAATTAATTCGGTAATGCGGTGACGCGGAAGGATCACCGGAAATCTCTCATCGTATGAGAGTAAGGAGTGGCGGAGTCTCCCGCCAAGCCGAATAATGCCGTTTTCGTCAAGAAACGGCGTTAGCGAACGCAGAGGACTCGATTTGCTTAGCGGAGAATTCCCACGCAACGCGATGAGTTCGGCATTGAAGCTTAGGGCTTGTAATCGTTGGATCCAGAAGATCCGCGCTCTCTTGACATCAAGGCTCGTCAATACCCCGGCCGCCATTTCGCTCGCTTTGTTGCTGGTTTTATGCGTTCTAAAGAGACGAAACACGTGACCTGTGACGCGAAGCAATTTTCCCCACGACGTAAAATTTTCGTGGATATTGAATATATCCGCTGCCGGAGCGGACTTTGAATTATCTACGGTAGCGACGCGAACTTCGGCATTCACGTTTGACTCTATTTCGTCCGATAATTTGTCCTGCAATTTTTTTCTCTCTGGCCAAGAGACGGGAGGATCTTTTAGCCAGGCCGGGCCTGACCACCACAGCGGGTGGACGCGAAACTCCTCTACCGAAATACCGCGCGAAGCACAATCCGCGGGGTTGCTGATTGTCGGCACGTGATGCCACTTCGCTGTCGGTAATTTCGTCTGAATCTCGGAGACTCGCGTAGCGACGAACGTTCGCCATTTTGAGGGGTGTTGACTGACCCACGCTAGTGCGACGGTGGAATCTGTCCAGCCGTAAATCGGTATATCCGGATTCTCGAGCACGCCTAAAACGTGATTTATTAAACGTGCTAGGAGTACGATAGCCATAAGTTCCAGGCGGGGAATGGCAATCGTTTTTAAGGGCGCCACTTTTGATTTGGCAGCGAGCAGCGAAACCGAAATTCGATTAGGCGAGTGGCGAACCCGTAAATAGACGACAGCAGCGTAGGCACGCTGTGACGCGTCGGCGAATCCGTGAATCTCCACCGCGTGATCGGGATCGTAGGTATTAAGCCAACGTGGCATACGGCAATTAGAAAGCTTAGGAAGACTGCTAACGTAATCTTGCCATCTTTGCAGAAGTGACGCGGGAATAATCTCATCCCAATCGATTTTTTGAAGCCACAGATCCTGCATCAGTATTTTCGCTACAATTACGACGGGCGACGCCCAACCTAAGGGGTCGAATAGCCGCGCGATAAATGATAGGACGGTCCGCTTCGTGGTTCGCGATTCCGTGAATTCTGTGGTTCGAAAAAAGAATACATCGTCGGTCGGGCGCCAAGCGACGCCAAGGACCTTTAGACTTGTATTTTCTTCAAATGCGTGATCGCATGATAACTCGTGATCGCCGGATGGAATAATTGACAAGAGTTGTGGATCGTTAGCCGCCCATTTTCTCAAGTGAAATCCGCCGGAATGCATCAAATCGTTAAGCTGAGCGCGCAATTGTATAGCGGACGCGATGTCATTCGCACCAAATAAGAGATCGTCCACGTAGGCCGAATTTTTAAGGATTTTTGCAGCTTGCGGAAAGCGACGAGACTCATCGTCGGCAAGCTGATGTCGAACACGGATCGCGAGATACGGTGCGCTAGCCGTGCCGTATGTAACCGTGAGGAGACGGTACGATAGGACCGGACTTTGCGGATTCGGTCTCCAGACGATTCTCTGGTAATCTACATCGTCGGGATGTACTAGGATCTGACGGAACATTTTTTCAATGTCCGCCAGATAGACGTAACGATAGAAACGCCAATTCAGCAAAACTCCGCCGAGATCGTTTTGAAGCTTAGGCCCAACTAATAAGCAATCATTCAGAGTAAAGCCGTTGGACGTGACACTCGAAGCGTTAAATACAACGCGCACTTTGGTTGTCGAGCTGCTTTCCCGGATCACGGGATGGTGAGGGAGATAAACAGGCCGACGGCGCGAGGTGGAATCGCGAACCTGTTCCATGTGCCCTAAAACTTCGTATTCAGCGAGAAATTTATTGTATTCCGCAGCAAGGTCGCTATTGCGAAGTAATCGTCGTTCCGTTTTGGAATACAACCGTTGAGCGAGATTATAACTATCGCCCAGAACGGGAGGCTGATTATTTCGGAATGGCAATCGAATAATATAACGGCCGTCCGCATTCCGCGAATGGGTTTGACTAAAATGCGTTTCGCATAGCTCCTCTTCGGGAGAGTAAATGATTTTAGAGGGAATCTCCTCCGTTTCCCAAAATTTTTGAATGAGCTCGTCTAGAGATGGAGCGGCCACACAAGACATAACCGTCGCTTCCTGAAGCGATACTAAATCCAATGACTTTGCCGGGCCTGAAACTATCCAACCTAACGACGTTAACTGCGCCGTAGGGGAACCGGGAGGCCCCCTTTGGATTGGCCCGAGTAGCAATGAACCATAGAGGTCGGCTCCGATTAATACTTCAATATTTTCTTTATTTGACGGATCGGGATCCGCGAGTTCTAAGCCTTTCAGGTGAGGCCAATCGTCGACGGAAAACGCTTGAGTAGCTGCGTAAGCCGTGATCTTTTGATAAATGTATACTGAAATCGGCAGTCGTGATCCAGGACGGAGACACGATTCGAGTAGAAGACTCGTTTGTGCTCGCGCGATGCCAGAGTATTCTTCCCCGAAACCGGTAATGTGTAAATTCGCGCGACGTCGCGTCGGACGTAATCTCTGTGCGAGAGCTTCCGAAATAAAGCTATATGTCGAGCCTTGATCGAAGAGAGCGCGGGCCTGTACAGTTCGTCCTTCAACCGTGTGAAGTCGGACCCGAGCGGTAGCGAGAAGGACGGGAATCGGAGCTTGAGATCGCGCACCTAGAGATACGGTATAATTAGTCGCTACGTTGGTGGAGGCGTCATTAAATGCGCCTTGTGCTTCGCACGCTTTATTTGCCGCGGATTCGTGTCGCGATTTCGTACCTTCTCGATCCGTAGCGTCGGCGATTGCTACGCCGATGTTGTCGCGATGAAGTAATGAATGGTGAGCGCGTTGACAAGAGTTACAGCGCTTCTCACTTGGACAATTTAGCGGAAAATGCCCGGGTCTTAAACAATTGAAGCAGACGCGAGCTTGTCTAGCGAGCTGCCCGCGTTGGTCTAGCGACCGTTTTCGGAAAGTCTGACAAAATGACAGGAAATGATTCCCCTGACAGCAAGGACACTTACGGTCCGTAGTGTTATGAACCGTTGCCTTGATTTTATTCGATTTATCGGAACGCGCGGACAAGCCGGCGGTAGCGCAATTAGTTACAAGAGGCACAAGATCAGATAAGCCGCGAAGACGTTCCGTAATAAATTCGCGAAGTGTTTTAAATGTAGGGTAATCGGTTGACGCGCCTAAACGCAAGTTCCATTCGGTACGAGTACGCGAGCTGAACTTTTGAGTGACGATGTACACAAGCAAGTCGTCCCATTGATCGGTATCTCGGCCTAAATTTGATAATGCCGATAACGACGCGGTTACAGTATCGCGCAACAGCTTTAATTCGGCAGCGTTTTCGGTCTTCATTACAGTGAGACTCGCGAACGCGTGAATATGCGCATGGACTAGAGACCGTGCGTTGTTATACTCATCCAACAAAATCTGCCAAGCTCCAGCGTAGTTCAAGTCAGAAGTCGTGATGTGCTTCAACAGAAGCGCAGCATCCCCGTCCATGAACGACTTCAAATAGTGTAGCTTCTGCGCGTCCGAGAGAGTTTCGTGGGCGCCGACTAAAGCCTGGAAGGTGTCTCGGAAGCTCTCCCACTTGGTCATTTCGCCCTTGAAAACTGGAATGGTGATCCTTGGTAGCGCGAAGGCTGATGACCCGTGACCAGACGGGTGATGGACGCTGATAGAACTCTGATCAGCGTCAGATGGAGTACGTAGCTCCTGTTTGTCGAGTAGGCCTGCTAAGAAATCTTGCGAGTCCTCGAACACCGCTTCAGCTTTGCTAATTTCGTCGTCAGTGAAGTAATCATGTTGGAGATCGTCTTTGTCAGCGACCTGCAGGAGCTCGACGTGCTGCTTACAGCAAGTTTGCCAGTGCTCCCGTAATTGCTCCATGCGAAGCTTAGTCTTCGTAATCGTAAATTTCTCCTTGCCGGCCTTCTTATAATTCACTGCTATCCGAGACATAAATTGAACGGTCGCACGTATCGCGATGAGACCGTTCTCGAAATCCGACATGATTCACGGATATGAACGGTACTGATATTGTATTAATATCAAATCGACGCGTAGAATTCTTTCACTACGGATAGCCACTGACCAAAGCGGAAATTTGAGAAAAAAGTAAGGTCACTGCGAAACGTCGAAAACACGAGGGCCGGCTCTCGCTTTCGTTGGAGCGAGAGAGAGGGTAGGATTTGGCGCGAGACCGCTCGCCGTGTGAGACCGCCCGCCGTGCGAGAGAGAGAAAGCGAGAGAGATAGCGCGCGCACTTCCGGCGCGAAATTCCTCGTTGTATAGTTCAGTGCTGAATTAAACAACGGATCGTTTTTTCGTATCCCGATAACAGCGGGACGCGAGAATGAGCGGACACAGTTTATTCGGCGCAAATCCGGCTCGAAGGACCATTAATTCACATGTACACGCCCCTCGAATCAACGTGCTGCGAATCAAACCTTAATTAATATAGTTTATATCCGGTTACGGCCACTGTCTCGGAGAGTCCGCGCATTAAGTCGATGTGTAGGAATAAAAAACACAAAACTGCTCCGAATAACAATTAAATCCAAAGTCTTTAATAAAATGTTAATAACTTTGATAATACACGACTATGTTTGACGATCGTTAACGTTTCGTCAACGCTGAATGGTAACACAAGAATCGCTGTGTTCGGATCGCTAGTCGAACGAGAACTGAGGGCCTGCTCTCTGCGAGAGTCAGGCACGAAATACGCCGGAATTTTCACATTCTTACAATATCACGCGTACAGGATCGGGTGATCACGTGTATAATCTGTATCGATACCGAAATCATAACGTGATTCTTGAATGGATATCGAACAAACAACTCGTGGTCAAACACAATCAGCCTACATGCCGAAAAATACAATTTGATTTCTGAACAAATAGTTTCTCTGAAAAACAAAGTTTGTAAATTTTTTTATTAATTCAAACTCAAAAGACTATTTACAACCCTCACCTGAAAAACAAAGAAACAACATTCAATGTTTCTTATTCACTGATTCTATTATAATAAAACTTTGTCAAATTAAATTTTATTCACCGTATTTTCTCTCCACGTGGGTTTCTCTTTTCTAACCTCTATTAATTTTTCTTTGCACATCTAGATGCCCGTATTACCGACCGTTTTACCGGGAGATTTTAAATTAATCCGAGGAAATGTAATGGAATTTCCTTACATCTCCCCCCCTAAGAGAGAAAATATGTTTACAATATTTTTTTTTTTTTTTTTTTTTTATGACGTGTACATGTCTTCTTCTGTGTAAGCGGACTCTGAGACTGGAAACAGTTTAGTGATATGAAATAAATTTGACTCTGTTTTCTTATGACCTGTGTCTACTTTATATATTGAGTGTGATATTTTTTGTAAGATTTTGTATGGTCCTATTTTTAACTCGTCTAATTTCTTTCTGTTTAAGCGGTTCCCGTTCTCGACATATACTGATTCTCCTACATTAAATTTGTAATCTCTTCGGTTTTTGTCAATTATCTTTTTATTATAAACGTGATATTTTATACTATTTTCTAAAGCAGTTTTCCTGTCTAGTTTTAGATCTTCGTTTGATCTTTCTTGTTTTAATTCGATTGGTAACATTGAGGTATCCGTGCCTTCTAATAGATATTTTGAGGTGAATTTAGTGACTGTGTGTTCTATTTCATTGTATTTTCTTACACATTCGTGTGCTATAGTTGTCCATGCTGCTTTCTTGTTCTTTTTCTCGTTTACTTTGCATCTAATTTTATTAACCAACGTTTGGTTCAATCTTTCATTCAGGCCATTGGAGAAAGGTGCGTTTACTGCCGTAAATATAATTGGGATATTTTTGTCGTCCAAAAATTTCTTAAAAACCTTGGAGTTTATTCCCGGATATTGATCCGTTAAGATCATACCGATGTCGTTGTTTTCCGTTACTTTTTTTATTAATTTTATAAAATCCGTGGAATTTTGGGTTTTGGATGTTAAAATATATCCAAATCTCGTGAAATGGTCTACCAAGAGATGTAAGTATTTTTTGTGGATCGTGAGCCCCCGAAGCCGCCGATTGTGTCGATGGAAACTATTTCAAACGGTTCTTTTGCGGGACCTAATTGAGACATTAGGCCAAATTTCTTCTGTCCTCTTGATTTATTTTTTATGCAGATCTCACAGGCTCTACAAATTTCTTTTATATTCTTTGTTAAATTTTGTGCTGTGTAATAATTTCTGATTTTGTTTTGTGTTTGTTTTATACCTATATGGCAGAAATTCTGATGTGTTCTTCTTATTACTTCTTTACTGAATTTTTCTGATAGTATAATTTTTTCTTTTTCTTTGATCTTCTTATAGTATATTTTATTTATAGTATATTATAGTTTTAGTCTATTTTTGTCAGTCTGTAAATCTTTGTTTTGTTTTTGATCTTTCAGAATTTCTTCTAGGTTTATTAAATTCACGATTTTTAAGTCTTCCTCTTGATTCTCATGTGCCTCCAGCACAGGGTTTCTACTTAAACAGTCTGCCTCCAAGTTATTCTTACCCGGGTGGTATATTATTTCCATATCATATTGTGCTAAGTAATACGTTAGATCGCCTAATTCTTCGTCTGGTCTTGCTTTGATGTTAAGTTTTTCTAGTGGTTTATGATCTGAAAAGACTTTGAATGATCTGCCCATGAGCCAGTGTTGCCAGTATTTTACTGCTTCTTTTATTCCTAGGCATTCTAGGTATATAGCCTTCTTTTTTTTTGGGCTTCGTTTAGCTTCTTCGAGAAATACGCCACCGGTTTTTCTATTTCTTTTCCTATTTCTTCATCCAGTTGTGGTTGTTTTAGTATAGCTCCTACACCTTTCAAGCATGCATCCGTGTAAATATGTATTGGTAGATCTGGATTGAAGATAGTTAAAACCGGTTGAGTGCAAAGAATGTTTTTTATTTTTTTAAAGGCTTCTTGGCAATCTTCCGACCAGACGAATCTTTGTCCTTTTCTTAATAGTTTGTGCAGTGGGTCCAGTATTATGGAATTATGTGGCACGTATTCATTGTAAAAGTTAATTTTTCCTAAGAACTGGCGAATGTGTTTTTGTGATTGTGGCACAGGAAAATTTTGTATTGATATTAGATTATCTTTTATTGGAGAGACTGAGTTATTTTTTATCTTGTGACCTAAGTACTTGACTGAATTTGATGCGAAAGTGCATTTAGAAAATTTCAATCTAAAGCCCTCCTTCATTATTGCGTCTAGCAATTGTGTTAAATGGTCAATATGTTCATCGAATGATTTTGAGAAAATCAAGATATCGTCTATGTAGTTTACTGTAAAGTTTGAGAGATTGTGTTTTCTCATTATGTTGTTCAGGATTCTTTGAAAAATAGCTGGCGACGTCTTTAGGCCAAATGGCAAGCAGGTCCACTGAAAGTGTCCTTCTTGGGTTATAAATCCTGTTTTTCTTCTATCTTCCACCCGTAGTGGGATTGACCAGAATGCCGAGTTTATGTCGAGTTTGGAAAAATATTTGCAGTTTCTTGTTTTTGTCACTAGGTCCTCAATCAATGGGAATGGTTGTGATTGAGGGATAATTATTTTGTTCAGATCTCTAAAGTCGATGCATAATCTTGATCTTCTATCTTCGTCCTTTTTATATGCTAGCGTCACTGGGGCAGCAAAAGGACTGTATGATTCTTCTATCAAGTTTCTTTTTAACAGCTCCGCAATTTGTTGTTCTATTTCTTTCTTATCTTTGATTGTACATCTATATGGTCTCTTGCTGCAATACTTATCTATCATTAAATCTATTCTTGCTTCATAATCTTTTACTGTGCCAATGTCGTATTTGTCCTTGGCAAATAATGTTTTGTATTTTTCTATAAGATTTTCTATTTTTAATTTTTCGTAGTGATCTAGGTGGTTTATTGAGATTTGTAAATTATCTGTATCTACATGTTCATTAAAGTTTATTTGTTGTAGCTTGTCATTTTGAAATTTACAAGCTTCTTTATGGTTTCTATCCTCTTTCTTTGGATTTTTGTTTGTGGTATTAAGAGCATTTGTATTTCTTTTGTCTGTTATGTCAGGAATTTTTTGTTCTATTTTTAAATTCTCATTCTGTATTAATCCAAATTTTTTTATACAATCCAGTCCGATTAGAAATTCATAATTGAAATTTTTGTTATTTATTACAAAAACGTCTATTTCTTTTTCTATATTAAGAATTTTTGCTTTTATTGTTATCATGCCTTCGGTTTGGTTCACACCATTGATCGTTCTTAAGTTTACTTTTCTTATATTGTTATTTTTATCTTTTCTTAGATTCAGTATTCTAGAGTTTATTAATGAAACATTCGAGCCTGAATCATATATCCCAGTTGCTTCCAATGTCTCATTTAGTAATATCTTGAGTTCGATCAATGGTGGAATTATTAGTTTTTTTGCTCATTGCAATTTAGTTCCATTTCTAGGACGGCGTTATTGACATTTTTTATTTTGTTTTCTTTATCTTTGAACCAACATGCTGATTCCGGGTGATAACGTGTGCCTTTGTTATTGTCTTTACAAATTTTACATGGTGTTTTTTCTTTTATGTTATCAGTCTTGTTCTTCTTGATTTCAAATCTGTTTTTATTAACCAGGTGTTCCAGTTTGCCTAGTTCGTTGTAAAGGTCTTCAGTTTCGTTCAGAGTTTCTCTGTCAATCCTATCAGATATAAAGTTTGGTAGACCGGCTGCGATGAGATCTATCAAAGTTCCTGTGTCTATTGATTTTCTTACTTCTAATAATAATTTTTCTTTTTTATGGCATAATCCAACAGAGGACCTGATTGGAATTTGAATGAGAGTGCATATCTTATTGGGATCCACCCTTTGTTTGCAAATGTTTCACAAAAGTTTTTTTCCATTCTTTCCATTCTGATTGTACTGTAAATTTTATCAGCATGCAGCTGTACCAATCTACACACGCTTTTTCTAGAAAAAATTTTAAAGTTTCGATCTTCTTTCTATCTTCATTTATCTCAAAACGTTCGCACTCTCTTTCAAATTCATTTATCCATTGGTGGGCATTGGAGGTTTTTCCAGTGAATTTTTCAAGCATAAAATCCTGTGCTATTTTTCCTAGATTTTTTATTTCGGATTTTTGTTGTTTCTCTTCCATTAATTTCTCCAATATTTTTCTCATTATTTCCTCTGAAGAACTAGGTTCAGATGCCGTAGTAGTTTTTTCTCTGTGATTTCTTCTAAATAATAATCGCCAAATTGTAAGTTTCTTCTTCATCCAAATACACTTTAGTTAAGGTTTCTGATAAACCAATCCATACTTTTCTTGATTGGTGTCTTTTTTTTAATGAATTCTTCACTTTAGCAAATATTTGTGTTTTTGTCAGCTCTGTGTGTAAATGTGCTGGCTGATATTCCTCTGGGAAGCCGAAAGAACGATCATCGGGTGTCCTATTGAGGTTAAGCACAATATGTTCGATTTTCCGTCTGTTGATCCTCTTACCATAAAGTCAAATCTTAACTTCTCCATTTTGTATAAATTTTCAACAAGAATGTTGTTTTATAATGCGTCTATAACTCTCTTATTCGGGAATAGTCAAAATAAGATATCGAATAGTGTACACGCCCCTCGAATCAACGTGCTGCGAATCAAACTTAATTAATATAGTTTATATCCGTTACGGCCACTGTCTCGGAGAGTCCGCGCATTAAGTCGATGTGTAGGAATAAAAAACACAAAACTGCTCCGAATAACAATTAAATCCAAAGTCTTTAATAAAATGTTAATAACTTTGATAATACAACGACTATGTTTGACGATCGTTAACGTTTCGTCAACGCTGAATGGTAACACAAGAATCGCTGTGTTCGGATCGCTAGTCGAACGAGAACTGAGGGCCTGCTCTCTGCGAGAGTCAGGCACGAAATACGCCGGAATTTTCACATTCTTACAATATCACGCGTACAGGATCGGGGTGATCACGTGTATAATCTGTATCGATACCGAAATCATAACGTGATTCTTGAATGGATATCGAACAACAACTCGTGGTCAAACACAATCAGCCTACATGCCGAAAAATACAATTTGATTTCTGAACATACCGCCCGCCTCGTACAAACTACGAAACGGACTGATGAACAAATTCTAGTATGTTAAAATTTTAATAGAACGATAGCAGACGGAATGTTTGACAGATCTTTACAATGAGTAAGAGACAGTTACTCGTCTGTTCTAATAAGTGGGCAGATTTTAGTAATCGGGCGCTTAAGCGTTGAAGACGCGGTGCGAACGGTCACGACGCGCGTGTGACCATCTGGGCCAGGGTGTGTCTCGATGACTCTGGCCATGTCCTATTTAGCGGGGGGAAGCAGAGGGTTTTTTATTATTACGAGGTCGTTAATTTTAATCGGTGGTTCTACCGTTCGCCATTTCTGCCTCTGATGAAGCGTGTGCAAGTAATCAGAAGACCATGCTTTCCAAAATTGTTCGTGCATGGCCTGCACCCTTTGCCATCTTGACAAACGATTCTCATTAATTTCTAAGACAGACTCTCCCGGTGCACTCAAAAGGGGGCGACCTATCAGGAAGTGCCCCGGTGTGAGCGCCTCGAAGGAGTCCGGATCGCTTGTCAATGCGGCGAGAGGACGGGAGTTAAGGCAGGCTTCGATTTGGCACAAAAGAGTCGCGAATTCCAACTGCGACAGAGTATGACCTCCGATAACGCGCTTTAAATGATATTTAAAACTCTTTACTCCCGCCTCCCAGAGTCCCCCGAAATGTGGAGACGCCGCGGGTATAAAGTGCCACTGTACACCGTCAGTGACAAGGTGATCGTGGACGGCGCGATCTTTACATGTTTTATAAATGCGAGTCGCAACTCACGGTCGGCCCCTACAAAATTCGTACCATTGTCGCTATAGACATCGGATGGAAGTCCACGTCGACTAACGAATCTTCGAAAGGCCGCAAGAAAGCCCTCCGATGAGTAATCAGAGACATACTCTAAATGAATCGCACGAGTTGCGAGACATACGAAAATGCAGACGTAATATTTCCGCGAGGTCTGACCGCGACCGACATACGGTATGATTTGTAAGGGGCCGGCATAATCTATTCCGCAGTGGAAAAGGTGGGCGATGGCGTCACTCGCGGTGACGGTAGATCGCCCATGAGCTGACTTGCGGTCCTCGCGCTTTCGCGTATGCATGTCATACATTTTCTTATTCGGAATTTGACAAGCGATCTCGCACCAAGAATCCAGAAATTTTGACGTAATACGCGTAGAGTAAGTTGCGGACCTCCGTGCGAGGATCGCAAGTGAGCTTGATCGACAATTAATTCGGTAATGCGGTGACGCGGAAGGATCACCGGAAATCTCTCATCGTATGAGAGTAAGGAGTGGCGGAGTCTCCCGCCAAGCCGAATAATGCCGTTTTCGTCAAGAAACGGCGTTAGCGAACGCAGAGGACTCGATTTGCTTAGCGGAGAATTCCCACGCAACGCGATGAGTTCGGCATTGAAGCTTAGGGCTTGTAATCGTTGGATCCAGAAGATCCGCGCTCTCTTGACATCAAGGCTCGTCAATACCCCGGCCGCCATTTCGCTCGCTTTGTTGCTGGTTTATGCGTTCTAAAGAGACGAAACACGTGACCTGTGACGCGAAGCAATTTTCCCCACGACGTAAAATTTTCGTGGATATTGAATATATCCGCTGCCGGAGCGGACTTTGAATTATCTACGGTAGCGACGCGAACTTCGGCATTCACGTTTGACTCTATTTCGTCCGATAATTTGTCCTGCAATTTTTTTCTCTCTGGCCAAGAGACGGGAGGATCTTTTAGCCAGGCCGGGCCTGACCACCACAGCGGGTGGACGCGAAACTCCTCTACCGAAATACCGCGCGAAGCACAATCCGCGGGGTTGCTGATTGTCGGCACGTGATGCCACTTCGCTGTCGGTAATTTCGTCTGAATCTCGGAGACTCGCGTAGCGACGAACGTTCGCCATTTTGAGGGGTGTTGACTGACCCACGCTAGTGCGACGGTTGAATCTGTCCAGCCGTAAATCGGTATATCCGAATTCTCGAGCACGCCTAAAACGTGATTTATTAAACGTGCTAGGAGTACGATAGCCATAAGTTCCAGGCGGGGAATGGCAATCGTTTTTAAGGGCGCCACTTTTGATTTGGCAGCGAGCAGCGAAACCGAAATTCGATTAGGCGAGTGGCGAACCCGTAAATAGACGACAGCAGCGTAGGCACGCTGTGACGCGTCGGCGAATCCGTGAATCTCCACCGCGTGATCGGGATCGTAGGTATTAAGCCAACGTGGCATACGGCAATTAGAAAGCTTAGGAAGACTGCTAACGTAATCTTGCCATCTTTGCAGAAGTGACGCGGGAATAATCTCATCCCAATCGATTTTTTGAAGCCACAGATCCTGCATCAGTATTTCGCTACAATTACGACGGGCGACGCCCAACCTAAGGGGTCGAATAGCCGCGCGATAAATGATAGGACGGTCCGCTTCGTGGTTCGCGATTCCGTGAATTCTGTGGTTCGAAAAAAGAATACATCGTCGGTCGGGCGCCAAGCGACGCCAAGGACCTTTAGACTTGTATTTTCTTCAAATGCGTGATCGCATGATAACTCGTGATCGCCGGATGGAATAATTGACAAGAGTTGTGGATCGTTAGCCGCCCATTTTCTCAAGTGAAATCCGCCGGAATGCATCAAATCGTTAAGCTGAGCGCGCAATTGTATAGCGGACGCGATGTCATTCGCACCAATAAGAGATCGTCCACGTAGGCCGAATTTTTAAGGATTTTTGCAGCTTGCGGAAAGCGACGAGACTCATCGTCGGCAAGCTGATGTCGAACACGGATCGCGAGATACGGTGCGCTAGCCGTGCCGTATGTAACCGTGAGGAGACGGTACGATAGGACCGGACTTTGCGGATTCGGTCTCCAGACGATTCTCTGGTAATCTACATCGTCGGGATGTACTAGGATCTGACGGAACATTTTTTCAATGTCCGCCAGATAGACGTAACGATAGAAACGCCAATTCAGCAAAACTCCGCCGAGATCGTTTTGAAGCTTAGGCCCAACTAATAAGCAATCATTCAGAGTAAAGCCGTTGGACGTGACACTCGAAGCGTTAAATACAACGCGCACTTTGGTTGTCGAGCTGCTTTCCCGGATCACGGGATGGTGAGGGAGATAAACAGGCCGACGGCGCGAGGTGGAATCGCGAACCTGTTCCATGTGCCCTAAAACTTCGTATTCAGCGAGAAATTTATTGTATTCCGCAGCAAGGTCGCTATTGCGAAGTAATCGTCGTTCCGTTTTGGAATACAACCGTTGAGCGAGATTATAACTATCGCCCAGAACGGGAGGCTGATTATTTCGGAATGGCAATCGAATAATATAACGGCCGTCCGCATTCCGCGAATGGGTTTGACTAAAATGCGTTTCGCATAGCTCCTCTTCGGGAGAGTAAATGATTTTAGAGGGAATCTCCTCCGTTTCCCAAAATTTTTGAATGAGCTCGTCTAGAGATGGAGCGGCCACACAAGACATAACCGTCGCTTCCTGAAGCGATACTAAATCCAATGACTTTGCCGGGCCTGAAACTATCCAACCTAACGACGTTAACTGCGCCGTAGGG